CCCTAATGAACACAGCCGTAAAAATCTTAAATAAGATACTGGCAAACAGAATGTAGAAGATCATCAAGAAGATCATCCACCCTGACCAAGTGGGATTCATCCCAGGGATAAAGGGATGGTTTAACATATGCAAATCAATACATGTAATGCACTATATTAATAGAGCCAAGGACAAAAAACATATGATCGTATCAATAGACGCAGAAAAAGCATTCAACAAAATCCAATACCAATTCATGATAAATACCCCACAGAAAATTGGAATAGACCCTCTCTATGTCAATCTGATAAAACTCATTGATGAAAACCAAACAGCCAACATCATCCTAAATGGTCAAAAACTAAAATCCTCCACGCTAAAATCAGGAACAAGACAAGGTTGTCCACTATCACCACCCTTGTTCAATATAGTTTTGGAAACATTAGCCACAAGAGTTAGACAAAAGAAAGAAAGAAAAAGAATAAAGATAGGAAAGAAAGAAATTAAATTGTCATTATTTGCAGATGACATGATACTTTATATAGAACACCAAAAGAACTCCACCAAACATGTTCTAGACTTAATAACCAAATTTAGTCAAGTAGCTGGATACAAGGTCAACACACAAAAATCAATAACCTTTCTGTACATGAATAACAGACTCACTGAGAGAGGAACTGGAGAAACAAATCCTTTCACAATAGCATCCAAAAAATTGAAATACCTAGGAATCAACCTAATGAAAGAAATCAAAGAACTCTACTCTGAAAAGTACAGCACTCTGAAAAAGGACATTGAAGAGGATATCAGAAAATGGAAAGACATCCCTTGCTCCTGGGGAGGAAGAATCAACATAGTGAAAATGTCCACACTTCCAAAACTGCTATATAGATTCAGTGCAATCTCAACTGAAATTCCAAAAGCACACTTCACAGACCTTGAGAAAACAATCCAAAAATTCATTTGGAACAAGAAGAGACCTAGAATAATAAAAGCAATTCTAGGCAATCTCAATTGAAATTCCAGTTGCATCATGGACCTTGAGAAAAAAATCCAAAAATTCATTTGGAACAAGAAGAGACCTAGAATAATAAAAGCAATTCTAGGCAACAAAGACAAGGTAGGGGGTATCACAATCTCCAATTTGAATCTATAGTACAAAGCCACTGTGATAAAAACAGCATGGTACTGGCAAAGAAACAGACCTGAGGATCAGTAGAATAGATTAGAAAATGCAGAAACAATTCCAGACACACTCAGCCACATCATCTTTGACAAAGGAGCCAAACACCCTTACTGGAGGAAACATAGACTCTTTAATAAATGGTACTGGAAAAATTGGGTTTCAACTTACTGAAGATTAAAACTAGACCTGTATCTCTCATCATGTAGCAAATTAAAATCAAAATGGATTAAAGATCTAAATATTAAAAGAGAAACACTAAACCAGCTGGAAAAGAGGTTTGGCAGAACTCTTGAAGACATTGGCATAGGAAAAGATTTCATGAACAAAATCTCAGTTGCACCTGATCTAGCACAAACAATCAACAACTGGGATCTCATCTTATTAAAAAGCTTCTTCACCGCAAGAGAAACTACCAACAGAGTGAAGAGACAACCCACAATGTGGGAAAAAATTTCTACCAGCTGTTCCTCAAATAAAGGTGTACTAGCTACAAAATATAAAGAACTTACAAAAATTAGACCACCTAAATTTAAATACCCAACCCAAAAATGGGCTTCTGAAATGAACAGACATTTCTCAGACAAAGAAATAGAAATAGCAAATAAACACATAAAAAATTTTCAACATCACTGGTCATTCGAGAAATGTTAATGAAAGCAATGCTGAGATTCCACTTTACTCCACAAAGAATGGCTGCTATCAAGAAATCAAGTAATAACAAATGCTGGTGGGCCTGTCGGAAAAAGGGAGCCCTTTTCCACTGTTGGTGGGAGTGTAGACTGGTGCAACCACTGTGGAAATCAGTATGGAGATACCTCAAAAAACTAGGGTTAGAGTTGACCCAGCTATTTCCCTGCAGGATATCTTCCAAAAGAATCATACCACAGTGATATATGTGCACGTATGTTCATAATGGCACAGTTTATAATAGCTAAAGCTTGGAAACAGCCCAATTGCCCATCAACGAAGAATGAATAAAGAAAATGTGGGTTTTTAAAAAATAAAATGGAGTACTACTCAGCCATAAAAAATGACAAACTAGAGACATTTATAGATAAATAGATGCACATTGAGGCCATACTCTTAAGTGAAATAAATAAGACATGCATATGCAAATTCTGAATAGTTTTTCTGGTGTGAGAAACTGAAAGTGTAAATAAGCATCAAAATGTATAATAGAAAATGTGAAATAGGAAGAAAAAGTCCAAAGGGAAAGGAGAAGGGGGAGGGGCAAAAGAAAAGAAGGGAATGGAATAAATATGAGAAAACAAAAAAATGGAAACAAAGTCTTTGTAAATAGGGAGGGGTGGAGGGGTTGAAGGTAGGGCAATGGAATGGGGAAAAAATAAGAATCAAGACATATCATGTAAAGGTACAAATTCCCAATGATAAATGTCATATTGTATACCTAAAATGTACCAATAAAATTAATGAATAGAAAAAATTTTAAAGTAAACAGACGTTTCAATTTCATCACAGGAAATAGCCAAAGCCCCAAATGATAATTACAAATTGTCCTTCTAATTCAGGATATTTTTCTATTTCTACCATTAGGTTAAAATACAGTAACATTCTGTCATGTTCACAAGTTTTTTTAATATGCAGATACTGCTCTAAAATTAAATAACTTAATTCACTAGAAAATTACCAAGATTTGATCATAACTAATTTTTTTTTTAAAAAGGCACATCTGTAAATAAGCATTCTGGTCCTTTCTTCTGCTTTCTTTGCCTCAAATTTCAGTATTTTAATGCATATAGAATTATCAATTTAGTTTTTTAGTTTTAGTTTTTTTTCAAAGAAATCATAGATAAATTCACATTTTAAAAATGGTGCCTTGCCAAAATATTACAGTCTCATCTTTAGTAAATTAATCTACTTTTCTCTGCTGCCCCCTTCATTTCTTTTCTGTTCTACTAAGAGATTCAAATACTTGAGTGTAAAATTTTTTGGCTCCTGTGGTTGACACAGAGAATGTCTGAAATTACTTGGAGATGGCAGATGTGGAAGATCACCTTCAGCAAGGTGAGTAACCAAAAAAGCTCCCTTTCTTCTGGAATGATATCTAGAGGACATTTCACCAGAATTGAAACCACTGAGAGTTCCTGAGGTAGAGTGGCACTGCTAAGAAAGTCCACAAGTTACGTCACTCAGGAGAATAAGGATTTTCCCTCTTATGATAATTGACATATATCACTCACCATTGTCTCCTTTCCCCCACTGCAGGCTAATATATTTGATCTGATCCAGCTTCTCAGTTCTATCTGCTCCTATCTCTACTGATTGACAAGCAAAGTGAATACTCCATATCTCTGAATATGTAGAGGTTTCTATTTGTTATTTAGATCTAGTGTACTTTTCTCTTCCTTCACCTTCTGACTACTGGTATTCTGCTTTTCCTCCAAGGCATAGATCAAATCCCTCTTCCATGGAGCCTTCCTAAGTATAACAGTTGGCCTATTTCTGCCCCATGGTTGTTACTATTATGTTATGATTTAGATCTAAGATGTTCCCCAAAGGCCAGCTGATGGACTTTTGGGTAGTGATAGTATCATGAGGTCATTATTATGAATAGTAATCCATTGATGAGATCATAGAAAAATGGGCTATTAGGAGATGGAGCCCATTTGAGGTGAGTGGGTCATGGGGGAGAAGGAGAAATATGACCTTGGCCCCTGGTCCTTTCACCTTCAGATCTCTCACTCTGTTTCTACTTCCTGGTTGCTATGAAGTGAGCAGCTTTCCTCTACCACATCTTTTCTCCATGATTTTTGTGCTTCACCACAGACCTAAATGCAATGGACCCAGATAAACATGGAATAAAACAGCTGAAATCTTGAGCCAAAATACACTTTCCTCCTTTAAATTGTTTTTCTCAGGTACTTCATCACAGAGACAAAAGTTGATTGACATGCATTAGTTGAGTTGGCTCAGACAGCCAGGACTCTCGTGAAGGAGATCTGGCATTCTCTAAGACAGGTTGTTCAATTGCTAGACAGGGTTAGATAGTTTAGAAAGTCCCACAACCTACTTGGTTTAAATGGAGATAATAAATTCTTTCCTGCTAAAAATTAACTTGTTTGTATCTTCAGGGAGAGCATTTTTTTGCACTTTATGATATTCACTGTAAAAGTTTAAATTGTCATAATAATATTACAAAAATATTAAAAAATAAGGAAATTGCCTTTAAGGCCATCATCTGAACATAATGACTACTGTATTTTCTTTCAGTCATTCTTAAAACATCTCTTTTTCATAGTTGTATTCCTAAGGTGAACACCATGCTGGATTCAGCTTTTTTCTTTTAACACTCCATAACACTCATTAGTTGCCATTTGTTGAAATAATGAAAGACATATTTTTTAAATAAAACAGTTTTATAGAATATCTTTTTATTATTTCCTTGGGATTCAGTAGACAATAAAAATAAAATATTTCTTCTATTGTATCTTAGGCCAAGTGAGCGAGTCAGGCATGTCCTATTACGTGAGTCTCAGGAGGACGCTGCACACTGCCCTCTGCTGGCCTGCTACCTGCCTGACAGGCTCCTTTTGGCTGTGCTGCTGCTGGCTCTCAGGGTCCTGGCATGAGCTCTCTCAAGGAATCTTCTCAATCATTCTGGCCAATATCAATAAGGTAGACCTTATTTTGATCCTGTTTTCCTTCTGTATCTTACTCTGAAACTTTTCAATAGGTTTTCAAGGTCTAGCCTAGCATCTGCTGCTGTGGACAAAGAAAGCCAGGCCACAGAATGATTATATTCAGTGACTAGCACATTGCAATATAAGATAGAAGAGATAGATTTAGGGAAATGAGATGCAGACATCAATCACGACAAAGGGTGGGTAAAGTATAGCATGCGAAGGCAATTCCTTGAAGTTGTCCATGTGAAATGACTGTGTATGAACATTGAGTTGTTTTTTGAAAAATAACCTCTGAAGGTTAAGGGTACAACACAGAGCATACACCGCACACAGCAATGTTGAAAGATTTTACAATGAGTACCAGACCATGTGTCTATCACCTGAACATCCTGATTCCCAGGTGTTCTCATGCCTCTCTCTGTGGTTTAAAGGACTTTAGACTGTCACTCCTGAAAAGAATTTCCACTTGGCTTTGGTTCCTGTTTTTGTTTTGTTTCCTATGGCCTATTCCACCAGGACCTGCACCTCATGCTTGACTCGCAGAATAACACTGGATAGTAAAACATTTCTACTGTTCTTGACACAGATTAGCAAATTAATTCATTGCAGAAATATGTATCATTTGTAATGTCATCAACAACATATGAGAGTGTTATATTGATTCTTCTATTATGATCTTTTAAGTTTGGAAGGAGAATTTAGTTTGATAGGATTTGTAAATCTTTTATTGCACTCTGACTTGTTAAATAACTGCATGCACATACTTTATTCTTTAAGCCTTTAAGCTACTCGGACCAGAAGCACATTAGTAGATATTTGTTTTCTCCTATATCCCTTAGCACAGTGCCTTGCACACAGAAAGTGTTCCATGTTTGTTGAAAAAAATAATGATCTGTGTATATCACCTTTGATATATCAGCAAATTAGAAAAAAAGAGATCAATTACTTTCAAAATGCGTAGAAGAAATGTGAAACATTTATATACATATAACAATTCCCAACAATGAATATAATCATTATGTACTGCAAACATGTCCTAATAAAAGTAAAAAAAAAAGAGTAAAGAAGGGAAAAATGTATGGAAGAAAAAAAGAGGGATGGCTTTATGATGCATATTTAGCTAAATTATATTGTCTGTGGTTTTGATTTCTTATGAATTAAAAGGCATACTAACTTTTCAGACTTGCTTTATATGCATCACAAAGCTAAATCCACTGACTGACAATGCATTTTATAATACCAGCCTGGATTCTCTACCCTTAAATCTGTCTTGGATGCACCAAGAAATAGATTTCATACTAAGAATATGAGTACATCATTATAAGCATACTCCACTCACTGTTACATTGACAAAAATTCTCTTTATAAAACTCTGGAGAAAAAAACAAAAATGCAGTTGTTCATATAAAATTTCAAGCAAATTCTGATGGGTAAGAGCATCTTATTAACACAGTCAAAAAGAGTCACATACGTCTTGTGTGTTAGGTATCCATCATAATGAGATGTTTGAACATTTTTCAGGTAAACTTTGTACGATGTCCAGGAGAGATATCTGAAGTCACTGTACATGGACAACTACAATGGCATTATATTATCACACAACATTTTACTCCTTCACTGTCATGATCACCTTAGGCATCTCATTCTCTAAATGGCTCTATATCTTATATTTTACACTACAATACACTTGTCACTGGATATAATCCTCTGAGTTCCTATGAGTTTCTGGTTTTCTTTGTCCACAGTAACAGAAACTTGGAAAGACTTTGGGGACCCAGAAGTAGGGTCTGGTCCTCACTGAGCCTCCCAGCCCCCAGGAGGCTTGGTAGTTTCACTGGGCTAATGGTGCCACCTGATGGCTAGTATGGGTTCTGCTTTCTCATTGCTGCTCATGCCTTTTTTTCCATCTTGACTTTTCTTTACATCTTCTTCCTTTTTATCACCTCAACAACTTCCATCTTCATGATTCTTTTTTTTTCTCCTATCCAACCTCCATTCCATACATCACATTTCTTGCACTCTCAAAATCCTCACTCTGTTGACTTTCCAAATCTTCCTTGAATTCTGCAAGGATTGTTCGACTCTACAATTACCACCCTAGACTTTTGAATGTTTCAGGAGAAAAATACCATGGCCTTGGCTTCAAGAACTCTGCTGGGTTCTTGGCTGAGCTCAGTGTTCTTTGCATGAATTTTCCTGTTCCCCTGCAAGCTATTCACCAAACACCCTCTACAAACACCACTCCTCACCTCTTTTAAATGATCAATTCACCTTCACCTTGCAGAGAAGCTAGAAGGCACTGAGCAGAATCCCCATCTCTCAACCTCCTATTCCTCATAAGAATAGTCAGTTATATTTGCTTACACATATGACTCTTGTATTGCTCCCAGCCCTCAGTGCACTCTCTTCCAGCAGACCCCACGTAGAAGCTGTGTCTAGAGACTGAGTTTCTGATCATTAATTTAAAAATACTCATCCTGAGCTTGCTCTGACACTCACCAGAAAGTAAGGTGACCCTCTCAGGAAGGCCTGCCCAGCCGCTGGAGTCTTTGAGGAAATATGAGAATGGGGTCTCTTCATTATTCAGGGTGGGCATCCTGCCTTGCTCTGCTTCATCCTGCCTCCACGTTCTAGGATCTGCACTGGGAATACCAACTCCCTTTTCCTGATTCCTGTACAAGGTCTGGGAACCTCTCCATGATGAGCAAGGGCAGAAGAGCAGAGTCAGAAGGACGAAACCAGGCTCAGTCCATTCCCCAAATCTATACTTGAAAGAGAAAGGTAGCAGAGAAACATGGTCATCCCAAGCCTCTGGATCAGGCTGAAGGGTGAACAATCACAACCTGGATGAGTCCGTGGCCATTTCTTGTCCTCTTAAATCCTGAGGCAACAGGGCTCCTCTCTATCTCCATGAGAGTCTGGTGCTTTCTCCTTTGCCTGGCAGACAGGAGTGTTTCTAGTCTTGACAATTCTTAAAGAGGCTATTTCAAAGACAATGGAAATGTAAAGCACAAAAGACTTAATTCCTTGCATACATGCATTCTCCAGCCTGTAAGTCATCTTATAAATATATGGAAAGCTTGAGTCATAGAGGGAGAAGGTCAGGATAAAGGAGTTCATCCTTGCATTTAAAAACGAGCTCACCTTAAATTGTGTGTGAAAATGAACAGGGGTGCTGTCAACTTAGGGTTAACCCTAACCCTGGCCCCTTAATATCATTTCAAACTCCTAATCCTAATCTCTGGGATTGGTGGAGAATATGAAAGAGAATATGATCAATATTTAATCCCAAAACAGTCTAAATATCATAGAAATCTAGAAATGTTCTATTATGAGGCTTTACCTTAAAAATAACTCTGATGTTTCCTATCGTAGTAAAATCCTTTATAAACTCATTATATATTTTTGAAAATCAATATATTTAACACTTTTAAATGTTTATTTTGTTGTTTAAAGCATGTGACTGCTTTCAAGATAGAAATAAAATAGAGGACATGTTTATCAAATCTTTTAGTAAATACTAACAATCTATCCTTTTGAAAACATTGTTTTTAGCCAAGTTACATGGTTTTGTAGCTATGGAATTCTTAGACTAAGCTCTTCAAAGAATAGCTGTGTCTCTCTTGAACTGAATTCTATTGGACAGAAGAGTCTCTGTTACTATTTAAAAGAAAATTCTAACTTGCTTATATAGCATGGTTTTATAATGAGGAACAGAATTTGTTAATATTTTAATTCTAAAATATAATCTGAGAGTATAGTAACTCATTTAACTATGTTTAGGCTTTCAGTTTGTAGAAGAGCTATTGGGGA